TGATAAATAGTTTTAAATATTAATTAAAGGTTTAATTCACTGTATATTTATTGATAGTTAACAATAATAGTGTTGTTTAACGATCACAGACCACATCTTATACACAGGGATTTAGTGAAGTATGAATCGTTTGTAAATTTAAATTTATTGATTTAATATATTTGTATTGAGTTTTTAAAAATTATTTTTATTGTCAAAAATAGCTGTCAAAAACATATTTATATGCATTTACTGCAAAAGTACCTAAAAGTGAAATATCGAACACAAAGTGATGAGAAACTATTGAAACTAATGGACGGATTGGAGAATTTGCATCAATTAAGTGCCATTCACTTTACCAACTACTCGGAGGTGCCGCCCGAATACATCGGACCTCTTCTCAGGGAAATGCTCGACACAAGAGAGTCTGTCATTAAGTCAACAAACTTTGTATAAATAATGAATTAATAATAAAGTTAGTGTTGCCAGAAGCTCCCGGTTGCCCGGGAGTCTCCCGGAATCAGGGTCTGACTCCCGTCTCCCGGCGAGGGTCTCACCTTAATATGGGGAGCTCCCGGAATTGCATGATAATAAATAGATTGATAAAATTTACAATTTTTACTTGAAAACTTGAAATAAAGATGAATACTACAATTATTAAGTTTACAATTATTGTTTTACTTAATTCACAATATTTGATTTCTTGAGAATCACAATTAGTATAATAATTTTAAGTGAATAATGTCAAAAATCATATAGATTTAAACGTTACTTTAAGTTTGGACTAATAATTTTGATAATTATTATATGTTAATGACATTTTAAGATTATTTTTTCCTCTCAAGGAAAGTCTCAAGGAATTCTTTAAAAATTCTCAAGGAATCTCCCGGGTAATTTACTAAAAAAATGAATATATCAAGGAAATAAAGAAAATGACCTAGCAACACTAAATAAAGTATTGAATTTTTAAAATTTGAATTAAAAATTTTATCAGAAAATTACTATTTTTGTTTAGTTTAAAAATTATACAATTTGCACCATAGTCAAAGAATTAAAATTGAAACAAATGATATTTTATTATAAACAATTTTTAAATTTAAAAGTCTATATTAGGCCATAAGAATTGTGTTATATTCATATTTCCCACAATAAGTGTAGCCTTGAAACTAGTGATGCAAATCCAATGATCCTTCAAAACGTCAATTAACTTTTAGTTTAATTGTACTTAACTTTTACATCATGGTAGACTACCATTGGTAGTCAATGACTAGCTATAATACTTAACAAACAATATTACTGCAAATACATCAATGAAACCTAAAAATATCTGTAAATAACATTAGGTTAAAATATACATTTTTACAATAGAATACCTCGATTCTGGTGATATATTATTGTGAAATAAATATCACATTTTAATAATATTTTAATATACTGTACTTTACATTTTTTTGCAATAACGCAAACTCCGATTGATGTTAAGTATTCAATGAATAAGTTCAATGTTGCGAATACTATTTGTCACACGAATTTATTTGTTTGTATTATTAATTCTGTTTTAGCTAGTATTTTAATTATAAATTAGTATTATTATCATGTTCGAACATGATCATTTTATTGTATTATACGTGATATACTGCATAAAGTGTTACTTAATTAAACCAAAGTAAGAATTGATATAAAGTGTATTAATAATTAGTTTTCTAAATAACAGATTACAAGTGTATTTGCGGTTGTCGTAGAGACTTATGAAATAATCAACATTATATGTATTGAACTAATTATGAGTTTGTGTTTTAAGTTAACTTTAAATATATATCAATTTAACACAATTTAATTATTTATGAACCAATAAACGATTGGTAGAAAATGCCTGACAAAAGAAAATTTAACAAAAAGTGCACCGTTTGTGGAGATATAGCAGCTAGTTAGTATTTAATATTTGTTGTGTCACCTTATTGAGTTAATTCAATTTACAATACAATACTAATTTTAATGCAATTAATTTTACATAGATTTCAATTTCGGTGCCATTACTTGTGTCTCTTGTAAAGCCTTTTTTCGCAGGAATTCAAATAAATTTAAGGTAAATATTAATTGAAAAACTTGTATAAAGTTTTAAGCAATTTTGTAAATAAAACTAATATTGTATTAATTTTATTGAATTTATTAATTGTGTTGTTTATGTGGACAGGATTTGAAGTGTCATTTCGGAGACAAGTGTGAGATAAGTTTATTGACCCGAAAATTCTGCCAAAGATGTCGTCTGAAGAGGTGTTTTGGCGTCGGAATGAAAATTGTGGGTCATTTGGGGTGATGTTTGAGAATTAATACATTTTTTAATTAATTGGTAATTTGTTTTAAGGATCTAATGCTTACCGAAGACGAGAAACGGTTCAATAAAATGCGATTAAAATCAAAAAGAGTTAATCACAATAAAGTTGATAATAAAAACAATGCGATTATCGACTCCACAACCGATTCGGCCAACAATTCATCAAATAATAGTGAGAAATGCTACGAGTCTTCGGATGCGATCATAACGAGTCCCGAAGACCACAGTTATACAGAAGAGGACATTGATTTAGCCATCGATGACTTCGAGAGATCATTTCTGGACACTAATAATAGCCAATACAACATATCGGAGCCTATTATCAATCAGTGTTCAGCAGTGGTTCCCATATCGAGACCATTGACTGACTATCGAAACAATTTCAACGAATTAGAGGGAAATAAATTGACCGAAATATTGTTCGCAACGGATCTAATACAAGAGCCCATCAGTGAAGTGACGTCTATTATCAACGATATGTTAGAATATAGAGTAAAACTTACGTATAAATTCACAAAAGAGATATTAAACTTTCCCAAACTAACCAATAATGTGCAGGCCTTTAACCAGCTCTGCCAGAATGATAAAATAGCCCTGGTCAAGTATGGGGCCATCGAGATAATTAATGTGCGTTCGGCACTCCTTTTTGACACAAGCACACAATGTTGGTCCTTTAATACTGTATGTTCTAGATGCTTTTAATTGTTTTAATTAATTAATTAATTATTTAATTATGTTTACATATGAAGGACGAGAATAACGCGTCTTTACTTCACTTGGATTTGCTTAAGAACGAGAGGAACAATGTTTACGAGGCGTACAAAACATTTCTCACTAAATTCATACCCGCCGTAGACAACGACCCACTTATTATGAACTTGGTAACAACACATTTGATTTGATTAATGTAGTAATTTGTTGCTAAGTTTAGAGATTGAATTATAATTTTGACCTAGTTCACGGCGATCCTCTTGTTTAACCCGAATCGTCCAAATCTCAGACATAAACAGTTGGTTAAGTAAGTTATAAATGGTATCACAAATTGATTATCAATTAATAATTTAATTGTTTTTTATGTTAGACTTCAACAAAAATCATACCTCCATTTACTTCAACGCTATTTCCTATTAAAATATCGTTCAGACAGTGAAATGAGGGCAAAGTTCACGGCTTTAATGAATATAATGCCAGATATTTGTGTCTTAAGTGGTATACTGTGGAGGAATGGCGTGGAATCTGAGCCTCAGCTCATGGGACCACTTCTTAGCGAGATTTTTGATAAATGATTGCAATTATTATTAATTTATTAATTGAATTTTTAATGTAAACATCTAATCATGTATTTACGTATGCTTAACTTGATGACCATGGTCATTTGTTGTGTCTATCATTGTGTATTGCATTATATTTATAATAATTAAAAATACAAATACCTGTACAATAATTGTGACAAAATATAAGGTTAATTATAAACAAGTAGACTATTTAAATAATTATATCACACTTTAATGATGTGTAAAAAGTGTATAAAAATGAATTACAAAACTATGCGCTTATATTGAAGTTTAAAACTTTTTATTGAATAGTATTTGAATAACAAAAACTGTTAACAGACATTGAATACAGGCTTTAATAGTGTTCAGAGTTAACCCCTTTTCATATCAATAGATGTTCACTAACTGTAAAGACAACACAATTTTGTGTTTCACATAATTTTTGCGTAACTTTTTGTGACACAAAACGCGTGAAATGCAAACCAAAAGTCAAGTGAAGTAATGATTAGTTTTAATGTGTTTTTTATATACAAAAAGTTATGCAATAATTATATGAAACACAAAACACATGTCGAGTGATATCATCGATGGTTTGCTCAACACTACTGTCACTCATGTCTATCGCAAACACTCTTCGGACCCATTCTGTGACCACTTGTGTCCATACATTGTCTCAGCCGTCAGTCAAAGACCTGTTCCCATACAAGTGTCCACACAATGGCAGCGATGGTTATATTGAGTGCAGACATGGCTTCTGGTCGATGAGGAAGTAGTCAATAGAGTGGCCATCGATGGCGAGCACTTCCAACAGATCCAGAGCTTAAGACAAATGTAAACAGAAATGAGTTGTAATGAAATGCATTTAATTGCAAACCAATTGTTGTGTAATTTATATCACGTTTTCATTTGAATTCAAACTTTCAATTGTTTTACTAATTATTCGTTATTTTATTAGATTAACAGTCAGTTTGAAGACAACACTAATCAACTGAAACACTAAATGGCAGACAACGGATCCCAAGAAGAGGACAATCAGGTAATGAAATCACACATTAGATGAACCACTCATTTGACAATTGATTTGATTTGCAGTCAATTGACGCGTCCATCAGTGACTCCGACGAAGAGATGTCTCAACAAATGGATAGCCATTCAGACGACTCGGAGAGCGATGACAACGAGATCGGCGGCGAAGGCCAGTCTGGGCTCACAATTACATTTAATTGTGACGACATTGTCCAACAGGTAATGGAATCGCAATTACATTAACCACTCGTTTAACACTTAATTTGAATTGCAATCCAAGACATCGTTCGACTCGGAGGACAGGTATCCGGAGTTGTGGTACTATTTGAAAGAAAGCGAATCGGATTTCATTCTCATCGTCAACGGCCAGAGACTGCCCGCAAACAGACGCCTTCTAATGGAGAGAAGTGTCGTTTTCAGAGAGATGTTGACTAAGTATCCGAATATGAAAACCAATAACTGTATGGACGCGACTGTCGGTGCCATCGAAACAATGCTCCGGTTTATGCTCACCGAACGGCTGGTCTTCAACGACCACAATGACCTCCAAGTGATCGCCGACGCCCTCTGTTGTGCCCGAGGTTTTCGAGTGAACCGATTGGTTGACGCTATCGGTCGCCATTTGGTGCCTATGATAAGCGCCGACACCATTGAGAAGATCGCAGAAATGGCGTTCAAATGTCGGGTCCCGGGGCTGAGCGATGCGATCGACGACCGTTTGGACGAACTCTTGACCGTCGCTAATGTACTCTCTGTGACCAAATATAGCCACAAATGTGGGCCGCCGTCCGACCGATTCACTGATATTTTGCGGGCATTTTTGGTCACAAATTACCAGAAAATGAAGACCAAAAAGTGGGACGAATTGCGGGCATTAAACGCGTCGACAAAGGATTTATGGCTCGAAGTGATGGTTGAGATGAGCAAAAGTGGTGTCCCATTGACTCAAGACGTTCACAGCAGTCTGTCCTCCGATGAGTTGCGGCCTTTGCTTACTGACGAGCGTTTCCTATGTCGGGTCCGCCAGTCATTGCCCGCCGGCACCAGTAGTGGTCTGAGTCCAGCCAATGATTTGTCGGCCGCTATCCGGTCCCGACAGTTGGGTCCAGTGGTCCAGGACTTTGGTTTGGGACAGGAATGTGTCGATGCGGCCAATGCTGGAGGTATTGCTTCCCTTTCCCCTCTCTATTGCTATAATATTGTGTTTTTTTTTCATTTATTTTTGCCTCAAAACAGATGTCGAAGACTTCGCGAACGCATACAAGAAGTTGAAGAAGAATTACAAGAAATCAAATCCAGATGTGAGTCAAGACAGCGAACCAAAGAGAAGGCGAACGAGAAGTACTCAATCAAACAAATGATTACAAGACTTATATCAAGTGATTTCTGCCAAAAGTAATTTGCAATCTTTTCCAGTGTTAATCTCAAAGTAAATTAGTTTATGTTTTAATTTAAAAAGTTCTCAAAAACTTAATAAAATTTACACAAAGTTTTAACAAATGTTTTAACTTTTATTATAAATTTCATATTCTTTACGCGTTATTAACAATAGTTAATTGGTATTCAATTGCTAGTGATTTACAGTATATTTAATTTAAATATAATTTTGAATTACAATTAGTGTTAATCGTAATAATAATCGTATAATTGTCTGACAAGTGGTCCATAACTTTGAAAATAATGCATATATTTATTGTATTGAAAGACTCGAAGAAATTCATTGAACACTTGATTATAATTGTTGTTATCATTTGATAAAAATGCAAAACATAATCAAAACAATTAAAAATCTCGTGAAATGTATTTCCTATTTATTTAAATTCAAAAAACAATTAATTGATTTGATTCTCAAACGACTTCTTCAACGATGACCACAATTACATACCTATTGATGGCATTCATAGTCATAATCACAACAGCGGTCACAACGGGTGATAAGCCGTCGACAGTGCCGTCTCTATGCGAGAACGGGGCCATCCATTCGGCCAATCGGTTGCCAAACAACACATACAGAGTATATCGAGACCACCACTGGTGGGAAGTGACGGGTCTTCCGGGCAAAGGGCAGACACTCGGGCCGTTTCCCATCACCGAGAAGTATATGGCGCCCGTCACGAGACACACCACTATCATGACACTTGTCAACGGTTCCCACTCCGGCAATACGTTCAAGTTTGAGGGCACCTTTCGCTGGGAATGGGACCCAAAGGGCCAGCAACTGGTCGGCGGCGCTAAGGGTTGGGCGTGGGAGGGGCTGCCGAAGTATGGCTTCGACTGCGCCTTCAACGACGGCCATATGGACGACAAGCGGTTCCAGTTTCCCCGTATGATCGCCTTCCAGGGCGTCCACGTCTTCTACTGGAAGACTGAGTCCCACGACTTCGAGCCCATCGACGACACGACCACCGGTTATGTCGGCGGCCATTACGGCGAGAAAT